GAGAGAGGGGGGACCGAGAGACACCAGTCAGCGTACAGATATCTCCCATTTTGAATGGTGAAGATTATGCTGCATCTTTGAAGTCTGGATCTGCTCCTTTGAAACAGATTACTGAGATGGCTGTATCACGTGTTTTCACTTGAGGCAGAGAGCCCTGCATTAATTCCTGTTTCCTTTGACCTCTGTGAGCTCTGTAATTGCTTCTTGATCAGAAGGGATTGGAATTTCATTAGGGCCTCAATGTTCCTGCGTAAATCCGAGGTAAATAAGAAATTAAAGTGGGGCCTAATCCCTTGGATGGCTGCTGTTGGCATTTTTTTTTAATCAACCTTTGCTTGGCATTTGAAGAGACGAAAGGATGGTCTACTCAAGTGTCGCAGATTCACCGCCCCAAGCAAACACACGCACTTCTCGCAATTCATTGAGGGATTGGGTGTCTTTAGTGTTCATTAATCTGGTTAAAATCTAAATATCAGATTGCATCTCTGCAGAATATTTTCTAAGCCTGGCTGTCAGCATACCCTCTTTAATAAAATGCAAAATCTCACCTCACTTTGATGACAGTGTGTACATATCCCACATTTGAGCACTGGGCTGGCATTCCCCCGGGCAGTACTATGAGGCTACCACATTGTCACGGGTGTTCTTTCAGTGTGACCTTTGTGCCCTCTCTGGTGGGTATAAATTATCCCAGCACACCACGCTGAAGGGCAACAGTGGGGTGACCTCCTGGGTGCCCTGGGTCGGTAAGGATCGCTCAACTCAAAAACTGGACTTGACAAGTCGAGGGTATGTGGAGAGGAGGTGGGAGGGAAGGGGAAGCATAACATGGACTAGTTTAGAAAGGGGTTGGAATAAGAGAAATTTATCGAAAAAGATTGAATGATTCGAAAATAGAGTTAACATTTCGAGTCCTTCTTCAGAAAGGTCCATCTTGAAGAAGGGTCACTGGACCTGAAATGTTGACTCTATTTTTCTTTCCCTCTCTCCACAGATGCTGCCAGCCTTGCTGGGTGTCTCCAGCAATTTCTGTTTTTGTTTCAGATCTCCAGTGTCTGTGGTTCTTTTTTGAATGAATAATTCAACCCAGCTCTTGCCTGGACGGCAGTATGGGTTTGAGGCCACTATCAGAACAGCCATGAACTTGTTGAATGGCAGAGCAGGTTTGAAGGGCCGAGTGGCCCACTCCTGCTCCAAGCACCCTCAAGGAGCATCACCCCATCCAGAACTAAGCAGTCCACTCAATTGGCACCAGAATCACACCTTCCACTGCTGATGCTCAGTGGCAGCTGTGTATTCCAACTACAAGATGCACTGGAGTAATTCACCTCACTCAAAACCTCACGACCAATTCCCTCCTTAACTGCATCATGGGTGTCCCTACACCAGATGGACTGCAATGGTTCAAGAAGGTAGTTCACCACCACCTTCTCAAAGGGGCAACTAGGGACAGGCAATAAGTGCTGACCCAGCCAGAAACGCCCACATCCCATAAGCAAAAAGAAAATAAATTCCTTCTGATCTTATGAGAGACGACGGGAACATCCTGCTGGAGATCAGCCCAGAAAATACCCCTTAAATTCAGCAATAAGAGGGAAAAGCACAATTTGCATTTCCATCTGATGCACTTCATTGGTTTTAGTTAAAACAAACAGATAATCTGGTTATTATCAACCAATTATATAAGAAACTTGCTGATTGCAAATTGGCTGCTTTGTTTCCTATATCGTAACAGTGATAGGACTTCAAACTACTTCTTCGCCACTTTAGAATGTTCCGTGCTGCCAAAATATGTTACAACAAATGCAAGTCATTCTTAGAATTATAGAGTCATACAGACCCTTCGGCCCAACATATTACTGCTGACCAGGTTTCCTAAACTGATCTCGTCCCATTTGCCTGCATCTAGCCCATGTCCCTCTTGTGGCAATTGTAATGAGGTCAACCAGGTGGACTTCATAAAATATGAGTTCCCTGACTGAGATTGTTAACCTGATCCAATCAGGGACCCCTGGCTGACAGATAGAAACAGCAATGTGCTTCAGGGGACTGACTCCGAGCTGGTTGGTCACATCCAGAGTACTGGGTGATGGGATACCAGCCTCTGTGCAGTTATTTCAGGTGGCTGTCTTATGCTGCAGTGGGAGTGCCCCCACCTCTAGACTGGGAGGCTCATATTCGAATCCCAACTGTTCCAGAGGTATGTAATAACATCTCTGAACAGATTGATTAGAAAAAAAAGGTTAAATTAAAAAAAAAATATATGAAGAGGAGTGTCAGGGGTTCTGTTCACTGTAGGAGCCAGCTGTGAGCTAGATGGGTCAGTGCCATGTATTACCCATATGTAAATAAAGGGTGACTTGGTGATAGGATACCAGCCTCGGTGGAGTTATTTCACCTCTAAACCTGTCTAGTCGCACACCCATCCAAATGTCTTTTAAATTGTATCTGCCTCTACCACTTCATTTGGCAGCTCGTTCCATACAAGCACTACCTTCTGTGTGAAAAAGGTCCCTTTCCCCCCTCACCTTAAACCTATGCTGTCCAGTTTTGAACTCCCCTACCATTGGGAAATAAACCTTGACCATTCACCTTATCCATGCCCTTCATGGTTTTATAAAGCTCTATGAAGTCACCCCTGAGCCTCTTATGTTCCAAGGCGAAAAAAGTCCCAGCCTCTCCTTCTAACTCAAACCTTCCAGTCTCAGTAAAGTCCTTGTTAATATTTTCAATACAGTTTAATAATATCCTTCCTTTCAGTCTGTGTGCTTGTGTTGTGTATGACTCTGGATCTACTATAACCTGTTGTGCTTCAGGAGTTATTCTGGGTGCTGTGTTCGGTTGTCTTCTACGCATGGTTCCTGACCTGGGGCCCAACTTCGTCCTCCTTGTCTCCTTCCCTGGTGACATCCTCATGCGAATGCTCAAGATGTTGATTCTCCCACTCGTCATCTCCAGTCTGATCTCAGGTGAGAAATCATGGCTGCTGTTTTTTTTATTCATTCCTGGAATGAGGTTGTCGCTGGCCAGATCAATATCTATTGCCCATTCCTAATTACCCAGGGGACAGTTGAGAGTCGACCACATTGCTGTGGGTCTGGAGTCACATGTAGGCCAGACGGCAGATTTCCTTCCCTAAAATTTATAACTCTGACGAGAAATCGGAACAGACTTGAAACGTTGACTCATTCTCACAGCCTATAATGTTGAGGTAAAGTCACCTTAAAGGACATTAGTGAATCAGATGGGTTTTTACAGCAATCAGTAACAATTTCACAGTCGCCTTAATCCCAGATCTCTTTTTTTTGATTGAATTTAATTTGCCAAATCATGATATGAACCTGGGTCTGGGGAACTTTTCCTGGATTAATAGGCCCGGTGACAATACCACCTCCACTAGTTCTCCTGCTCTTCTTCCTCCTCTGGTTCCTGGTAGACATGCTATTCCCCCTCCCCCATACTCGCAGTACCTGCCTCATTCTTCAGTATGGGCTATTCAGCAATAGAATGCATTACAGGGAGTTGGTTCACATGGATGGCTAGTCTGCAATGTAGCATGATACCAAGAGTGTGGGTTCAATTCCCAACCTCTCCATTTGCCTGACATGTGGTGACCCTCAGGTTAAACCACCACCAACCCTCTCTCGTTAATGGTGATCCAGCAAGTCTTTAGTGACTTCACCTTATGTTATAATCTGTCCGTGAGAAAGAGTTATGATTTTTCTTCACAGTTCTGAACTCTGTTTCGCTCTCCGTTGATGCTATCAGACCTGTTGCGTTTGTCCAGAGATTTCTGTGGTTTGTTTCAGGTTTCCAGCATCTATAGTACCTTGCTTTTGTTTTGGCTACGAGATGGATTGGGTAAGCTTTTGCTCGATAAGCCAGCATGGGTACTATGGGCCAAATGGCCTCTCTCTTTATCGCATCATTCCATGAAGATAGATGGAAGGGAGGATCTTACCAGGACTGTCTGGCTCTCAGTAGCTCAGGCTCATAGACTCAAACAGCACAGAAGATGCCTTTCAGCCCATCCAATCTGTACATAGATCCCCTCTGTAATGCATGAACCAACAGCCAGAATGGCCTCCACCAAAGCCTTGATGAGCCTGTGGCCTTATCTTGAGGTTCCCAATCCTCCAGGAGGCTTCCAAAATTAAATTTTAATCACCTGGACTCTGTTGGAGGTAACTTGGGAAGGAAATCATTGAGATATACACAAAAGCAATTGCATACTTTCCTAATTTTCATTCTACAAATCTTGGATGTGGTGGGTACAGGGTGGAAAGGTTATTGTCAAGGAGCGTTGAGGGTGAGAGGTCATGTGGTATAACCTCCAAGAATAAGTTAGCAACCCTAGAAAGTAAAGACCCCAGATGTTACATGTAACCACACCTTTTCCTCGCAATTTCTAAATTTGAGGGGGGGTTAAAATTGATTCAGAGATAGTGGGAACTGCCGATGCTGGAGAATCTGAAATAACAAGGTGTAGATCTGGATGAACACAGCAGGCCAGGCAACATCAGAGGAGCAGGAATGCTGACGTTTCAGATCTGGACCCTTCTTCTTCTGTTATCTCCTATTCTAAATTTGAGGGACATGTCCTGGGTTGACATCCACTGGGACATTTGTGTCATTTCTCACAAGATCTTAAGAAATGAGAGTAAGAATAAATAATATCTGGTGAGCTGAGATTAAGAATAGACTGTTTGGCCCATTGAACCTGCTTTAGCCGGGAATAAAATCATGACTGATCTGTGGAACGTCATGTTGAGTTCGTATAGGACATTGGTGAGGCCTCTTCTGGAGTACTGTGTCCAGTTCGGGTCACCCTGTTATAGGAAGGATACTATTAAACAGTAGAGGGTTCAGAAAAGATCTACCACGATGTTACCGGGAATAGAGGGTTTGAGTTATAAGGAGAGACTGAATAGGCTGGGACATTTTTCACTGGAGCATAAGAGGTTGAGGGGTGACCTGATAGAGGTTTATAAAATCATGAGAGGTATAAGGAAGGTGAATGGTGGGTGTCTTTTCCCTAAGGTGGGGGATTTCAAGACTAGGGGACATTTTTTTAAGGTGAGAAGAAAAAGATTTAAAAAAGACATGAGGGGCAATTTTTTTACACAGAAAGCTGCTTGTGTGTGGAATGAACTTCCTGAGGAAGTGATAGATGTGGGTACAGTTACAATGTTTAAAAGACGTTTTGGATAAGCACATGAATAGGAAAGGTTTGGAGGGATATGGGCTGGGAGCAGGCAAGTGGGATTAGTTTCATTTGGGATTATGATCGGTATGGACTGGTTACACCGAAGGGTCTGTTTTCGTCCTGTATGACTATGTGATTTTATGTCAACTGTAAGAATGTTAATCCATCTGCAACCTCCTCCAATATTAGGCACAGCAGGGCAGGTGTGAAGCTATGAGAGTTAAAGCCCATTTTCAATACTTGTATTCCTCTGGAAAGTTCACGTCTTTCAGGTTAATTCACATGCACATAATAACTGGAGCAAATAATTATCAGGGACAACAGAATAGACCGAGGCTACTTAAAACAGAAAAGGTCAACCTAATTTAAATATTTGGAATATTCAGACAGGGTAGAGATTGAGAATGGGGATGGGATAGAGTTTGAGAATGGGGATGGGGTAAACATTGAGGATGGGGATGGGGTAGACATTGAGGATGGTTATGGGGTATTTGTTGAGAGTGGGGCGTGGGGTAAAGGTTGAGGATGGGGATGGGGTAGACATTGTTATAAAGTGGAGGTTGACCCCCACCTCTGGGAACTAGAACCGAAACAGCCAAAGAGGAACATCCTGCCCTATAACCTGTAAAAGGAGCGTGAAAGGTGGCGTAACATGCTCTTCAGCAACTTGTAGTGGTTAAATAAAATAAATCCCTGACACACACTTTAAAATCAACAAGTAACAATTTACTTGTCTAACTCTAACAATGAACAAATTAACTAAACTATTAACAAGCTGAAAAAGCCTTTCTAACTACTAACTATTCCCGAATAAAGCAAGATTGTAATGCTATGCTGTTCCAATAAATACAAGTCCTACTTAGAGAATAAAAAAAAATTAGTGTCTTGAAATTACAGCTAGATTATGTTATTCTGGAATGTTCTGTGCCTTCTCCATTGATTCTTCTGTCAGGAATATTAACTAGTTGTGCCATTGGGACCACTGTTATTTAGATGGTGCTTTCTCTAAGACATAGAGGAGGCTGTGAGAGCCAGGGATTCTCTATTGAGAGCTGACCGTCATTAGCCCTGGCGGATGGCAGCTAGTTCTGGGTTCTGTGCCCAACTGCCCCCTTCTTTTATACCCTGGATGACATGTCAATATTTCTTACAATAGGATTGGTCCTATGTTGTCAAAACCATCAGACTTAAATTTAATAGGTTTTGGGTATCTAAGTACCTGGTTCAAATTGATTGGCTAGATTCAAAAGCCTGTTGTAGTGGTAAAAAAAGCTGCTGCTTGGCATGCTAAATATATGGCCTTCCGATACAAATGTTCCAATTCGGGCACTGTCTGTGTACTTGCAAACTTTCAAGCTGCTGCTCAAGGACATCCATTTTAAATCTCTAAGCACATGACCTTTTAAAGGCACCATGCAAAGCTTTCCCCCTAGCATTTTACAAACAACAAATTCTAACTTCCTGCTGCCCAGTCCACAAGTACTCTACCCAGCTTTGTAACAACACCCCCCGGAAAAAATGAGCCGTCATTATGAATACATGACTTCTTTTTATTTGTAAAACCTTAACTCCATTATATTACAAAATCCATAGCTCATTAATCTAGAGTCACACGTTTTATACTAAATCTATTATTATATAACATTGAACCCTACTGTTTCCATCTTATATAAGAATTTTTCTTTTAAACTGGCAATAAAGCATTTGCAATAATATTTTCATGACTGGCAACATGTACAATCTGTAAATTAAATTCTTGTAACATGAGACTCCAATGAAATAATCTGGTGTTCTTGTCCTTAAATCTTTCCAGAAACGTCAAAGGATTGTGATTGGTATACGCGCTTGTCTCTGATACATCATTTGCAAAGTAAATATTAAAATGTTGTAAGGCCATTACCAAACTCAATAGCATATTTTCAATGGCTGAATACTTTTCCTGGGGGGTTTTGAGGTTTTTTTTTAATAATAACCAATTGGCCTTTTAATTCCACATCATCTTCCTGAAATAACATAGCTCCAACCCCTACATCGCTTGCATCAATGGCTACTTGAAGGTTTTCAAAAACATTGGCATAGCTAAAACTGGTCTGGAAGTTAACACTGCTTTTAACTTCTCAAATGCCTTCTGGCATTGTTCTGTCCACCAAAATTTTGTGTTTTTTTTAACAAATCAATCAATGGTGCCACCAGGCTACCAAAGTTTAGTATACATTTCCTGTAGAATCTGCTCAATCCTAAAAATCGTGGCACTTCCTTCTTTGAAGATGGTCTTGGAAATTCCTCAATGGCCTTCATCTTCACGTTCCTCGGGGTCATCCATCGATATCCGATGTTGTGCCCTAAGAATGTCACTTCCGCCTTTGCCAATTCTGTTTTTGCCAAGTTTATGACCAACCTGGCCCTCCATAGTCTCTCAAAGAGCTCTGCCAAATGCTCCATGTGATCTTTCCACAAATGGCTAAAGATCACTAAGTCATCTCTGTAGATGGCACAATTAGTCAATCCTGCCACAACTCTGCTCATAAACCTTCGAAAAGTGACCGATGTGTTTTTCATTTCATTGCAGAAAATACGGAGGCATGGGAACTATTGCAGAAAATACGGAGGCATGGGATTGAGGGTGATTTAGCGGTTTGGATCAGAAATTGGCTAGCTGTAAGAAGACAGAGGGTGGTGGTTGATGGGAAATGTTCATCCTGGAGTTCAGTTACTAGTGGTGTACCACAAGGATCTGTTTTGGGGCCACTGCTGTTTGTCATT